CTCTCCCTAATTGCTTGGGTCTCGCGGGAGAGGAGGAGGAGAGGAGGAGGAGTGCGGGGATGGTTTGTTGTGCCGCCAGATATTTTGCAACAAGTTGTGGCGCCGACGGCACGGGGAGAGACGGGCGCTGAGGCATGACCGGCGTGGGTGGGGCGGAGAAAAAGATGGTCGCACGGCCGGAGCCATCCGCCAGGCGCGCGGAGGCGGTGGCGGTCTCAGAGGCGTCTCGGAAGCGTCTCAGGGGTGTCTCGGAAGCGTCTCGGAAGCGTCTCGGAGGTGTCTCGGAGGTGTCTAGCAGGTGTCTCGGAGGTGTCGCACCAGGAGTGCAGCACCCCCTCGTAGATTTCGCCCTCGCGGAGCGTGACGGCGACTTTGCGGCCCTGCGCCACGGAGCAGCGGGCAGCGCGCTGGTCGGGAGCGAGGCCAGGAAGGCAGAGGGAGCGGGGCAGAGGGAGGCGGCGGCGGCTGCGGCGGGCAGGCGGGCGGGGAGAGGGTACCACGAGGCTGCCGACGGAGAAGGCGAAGAGATCCTTCGCCGTGCCAGCGTACTCGCGCATGGGCCGACGAGTGTTGCTGTGCGATTCAGGAGCGCGGGGTGAGGACGCGTGCGGCGGGCCTCGCGGGCGTAGGCGAGAGCGCGGCTCACCGCACAGCGCCAGCGCTGGCCACCTTGTTGCTGTTGCCCAGCGCCTTTGCGCGGGTAGCCACGGAAGTCCTGCGCGCGGCGCGACGCGGGTGATGCAAGGCGATTGCGATCGGTGGAGGGTTTGAGCAGGATGCTGCGCTGCTCTCTGCGCTCTGCGCGGTTGGGCCTGCCGCGGTCTGAGGCTGTGAGGGCAATTCTTCGCGTTGCCACGCGCAAGCAGCTGAGAGGCCGCCTTTGCACGCCGCGTGTCTGCATGGTGAGAGCCGAATCTGAGAGAGGCGGGGGCGAGGCGGCGGCCCGCACATATTGATATCGCCTCTCGCCTCTCAGAAATCCGTGTGGGCCGTGAAGATAGGAATCCTACAGTATGCGACACCGTGGAGAATCGCACCGAGGACCTTGCCGAGGCGATAGGCCGAATCACTTTGGGCCCCGCCCCCGCCCCCACCCCTCGGGGTGGGGGCACCCGCCCCTGTCGGGCACCGCTTGCGGCGCCTGGCAGGGGCACCCCCTGGGTGGGGGCCGGCGATTCCCATGCCGGCTCTCCGCCACAACCCCCGCCGGGAGGGAATCCCTGCTCACAGAAAAGGGCTTCGAGCCCTGTCTCGCGCACGCCCCTGGCGGGCGCCGCGGACCAGTTCCGCGAGCGCTCGTCAGCGGGTGGTGTGCGGTTCTTGCCGTAGTTCCTCTTCGGTCGCCTAGCCCCGGCGCCGTCTGGCGGACGCCTGCGTGTCACGAGTGCGAGCCGCTCGCGGTTCGTACGCCCGCTTGCGGGTTCGAGTGGCGGGCTATCCCGCTTGCGGGATGGCTTAGCGGGTTCGAGCCGTCACACATTGGCTGCCGGGGTGTGCCGGGCCCCACAATATGTGTGTGTGCGTATTACCGATCGTGTGTGCCGACATGAGACTGCGAGATACAGGTCTGACTCTTTTATGTATGAGTGAGAGAGGTGTTTCGTGCTCCCGCTCTGAGCGTCTGCGCGCCGGTGTTTCTTGAACTCGTTATGACTCGCTGATCCGTTTCGGAGAAGAGATACGAATACAGCTAACATCACCGGCAAGGTCCGGGAAGGGGCTTTCTCGATTTCCTCTAGGAATTCTCCCTCTTAACCCACACCTCTAACATCCCAACATGGAATTCCTAGCTGCCGCAGCTCAACATTTAGTACATCTACCCATTAGTGCTACCCAACGCGGCCAAAGGATATCCACCTCGAGAACCTCGAGAACATCTATGAACCTGCTGTGAACAGGATCCTGCGATATCCGCCATTGATATGTACATGTTGTGTGCCCCCCTACTCCCAACCGTTGTCGGCGCCACACACATGCTCAAGATCTTGCTGCTCTGGATTGCCGCGGAGACGTCCTGCTTCACCGCATTCCGTTCTGGCGAGATCTGGTACGACACAAGCGGCGCACCCATTGACGCGCACGGCGGCGGCTTCCTTTTAGACCGCGGCGTGTATTACTGGTACGGCAGTGCCCGGAACGGGATGAACCCGGCGTGCTGCCACGACCATGGGATCAACCTGTACACGTCCACCGATCTCTACAGCTGGACGCACCGAGGGCTCCTCCTGCACGCGTTCAACGGCTCCTCCACTGGCAATACTTGGCACACGTTCAACGGCTCCTCCGTTCGGCGGCCGTACGTCTTCGGTCCCCTGGAGCGGCCCAAGGTGATACGATGCGCAGGCACCGGCCGGTATGTCATGTGGGTGCGCGGCACCGGCGAGCTCAACGATCCCCAGCTGTTGGCCGTTGCGACGAGTGATGCGCCGACGGGCCCGTTTCGCTTCGTCGGTGACCAGACGGACCCCTTCCACACCGTCTACCCAGGCAACCCAAACCTACCGGCCGGCTATCAGTACGGAGATGCCACGCTGTTTCAGGATCCGCGCACGGGCCGCGCCTACGTATACTGGCGCACACGCGTGAACCCGCAGCACACCGGCTTTCGCGGTATGGAGCTGACAGAGGATTGCACCGACGTCCGCCCGGGGAGCGACACGCAGCTCTTCGTGACCCCCAACCGAGAAGCGCCGGCCGTCTTCTTTGCAAACGAACGCTTCTACCTCTGGTTGAGCGGCTGCAAAGGCTGGGCGCCAACCGCGACGTACCTATACACGGCACCAACCGCCCTCGGTTGCTTCAACTGCTCGGGCTTGAACAACTCGAAGGGCTGGCTCGTCGGCTGGCAGCCGCCGCCCATCCCCGAGCCCGGGCAGCCGGGCAACCGAAAAAGAAAACGGCCGGCCGCCTGGGCCTTTGGCAGCCAAAGCACCTATGTCCTCGCCAACCCTCTGTACCGGGAGGGCTCGGCGCTGGCGCCGTTTGTGTATATGGCCGATCGGTGGACGCCGAGGAACAACGTATCGTTTGGCACCTACGTGTGGCTGCCGCTCTTCATCGACCCGCAAAACGCGTCGAGGGTGCGCGTGCTGTGGCGCACCTCCTGGCGCCTGGACAACGCCACCTCCCCGTTTGCAGCCGCAGGCGGCGTCCACGCGCGCAGCACAGGGAGCGGCCCAGTCCCGCGGCCCACAAGCTAACGAGCACTGCGAGATCGTCTCTACTAGTAATAGGCAGCAGAAGGCAAACGAATGCAGTCACTCTATTCTTTTGTTGATCCATTCTGCGCCGCTACATTTTAGTTAGAGATTAGATAGAAAGGCGATTCGTGATTTGCATGTCTCTCTCTCTCTCCCCTCGCGAAGCAGGGGGGTCCTCAGAAAACTGAAAAGTGTCGAGGTCAGCGATGGACCGGCTGACGCGGCTGCTCGCCTTCCCCCAAAGAAAGAAAGTGAAAGAAAACAGACAACGCAAGGCCAAGGGAGGGAGCGGCTGTGGGAGGGGAGGACGGCACGCCGCCATCACACAGGGATTTTAACGAGAGAAGTGTCTACCTTTTCCTCTCCCAGATAGATAGATAGGAAGGCGAAACACAGTCCGGGTTGTTGTGCGAGTATATGGGACAAAAGCGTCGAAAATGTCCCAAAAAGCGTGTCTCGAGTTTGTTGCAGCTCCGCAGCCAGCGCGGGCTGCCAGGACGCACCGCTCGCGCGTTCGGCACACTCAGTGGACCCCACCGAGTGTGCCGAACCAACTGGAGTGAGTAGGCTCGACGCCGCGCTCGCTGTGGGGCTGCAACAAACTCGCCGCCGAGCGTGCCATCGAAGGCGTCCTGGCGGCGGTGATGGAGTGTGAGACCTGAGGCTGCGGAGGTGACGCCTGAGGTACCGGTCCGTGCACAGCGACTCAGCCGGCGACCGCCACGGGCTCAGACGAGACTTGTCGACTCGTTCCAGCTCAGCTTCACCGTGGTCATCGGGCGTCTGTCGACGTCAGGACCACCCATACAGCTCGCGGGTTTGAGGTCGCAAGAGCCAAGATGGTGGCGTTTGGACATCCCAACCATCACACAAGACAGCCTGTAGGTGATGGCGGGACGGCGCAGTGTTTGTGGCACTCGGCAGTAGGCACCCGCGGCACGGCCCCGCTGTCGGCTCTCGCGGGCTGCGGAACCGGCCCCAGAAGGGGACGGTCCGGGCGAGTGTGGCAGCTCCTGCGCTAGTATGGGCACCCTCTATCACAACACTACTGATCATGGTCATTAGAGCTGCCAGGGATAGCGTCAGGAGCCGGTAGGAGTCAAAACCCCTCATATTTGAGACATCGTGTCCCATATACTCGCACAACAACCCGTCCGACCAACGACTGGGACACCAACTCGTCAAGCCCTAGGTAGGTAGGTAGGGAGAAAGGTGAAGAACAGCCAGGCTCACCAATGGTTTTTCTTCTTCATTTTCACTTTGTTTTCTTCATTTCGCCGTCGGCGGCCTGCCGCCGCTCTCTGCCCTCTCGGCGGCCGCCACAGCGAGCACCCACCCGCAGCCCGGGGCCACGCGGCCGGGCACCAGGCCTTCGATGGCGGCCTCGCCCGCCATCGACCTGGGAGAGCCGCTCGCGGCTTTGTTCAAGCGCGCGCGCGTCGCCGACAGCCTCTACCGCAGGTATGAGGGGCGGCTCGCGGAGCTGGGCATTGGCGATGCTGGCGACCTCCTCGACGAGGTCGCTGAGAAGGGCATCGGCTCGCTCGACATCCACGACCGCCAGGCGGAGAAGCTCCGCCAAGCTCTTCTCGGCCGGCGGGGCTGGGGGGACGCAGCTGCGGTCTTGGCATCCCTCAGCGGCTTGTCGCTGGGCGACACCCCGGCTGGGGTGGCGGCTGGCGATCAGGCGGCTGGTGGCGGGGCAGCGGCTGGCGGCGAGGGCCGCGGCGGCGCGCGCCCCGAAGAGGCGGACGGCGGTGCCTGCGACGCGCAGGCCGCTGAAGGTGGGTCCGGAGGTGGGACCGAGGGATCCAGTTTGGACCCCTTGGAGCCCGCGCTGCCGGAGAGCGGCGATGGGACGATCACCGCCGCGGGGGGGGAGGAGGAGGTCGAGGGCGGACGGAAGGCGCCGCGGCGCCGCCGAGGGCGGCGCGGCCGTGGCGCCAGGGGTCGCGGGGGGGGCTCGAGAAGGTGCCCGACACCGCGGCGGGTTTGGCTGCTGAGCGGCCCAACCCAGTGGAGGAGGTTTCCACCGGCGGCGCGGCGCCGGCGGAGGGGGAGGAGGGCGGCCCGCCCTCGCTCGCTGCTGATGGACCTGGACGTGCCCCATATTGGGGGCCCGCCGGCATTACCCCGCCCGAGACGCCGGTCTCGGACGCTGCCGGCGCGCCCCACCCTTTCATTTTAGATGAGGCCACGGGTTCTAAGGCGGGCGAGGCGGCTGCTGAGGCGTTGGCGGAGGCGGCGGTCGACGCCGTCTACGGGGCGCTCGTGGCGGCGACGCTCGAGGAGTGGGCGGGCGCGAGCACGGACAACCCCGTCTCCGCGGAGGACGCTCGAGGCCCAGGCCTCGAGTGTCGGGATTGCTTTGAGAACTTCTACAAGGAGTATGACGTGGAGCCTTGGCTCTGGCGCCGGGCGTTGCGTGAGGGCTGGTCGGAGCTGGGGGGCTGGTCGAGAGAGGAGATGGAGGCGGCGGAGAAGGAGATCTGGCGCGGCGAGAGTTCTGAGATCTCTCAGCTAGGCGAGTGGGTCTGCGATGGTTGCCTGGAGGGCTATTTGGGGGGGGGCTTTGGCGACTACTCGGAGCTGCGCAGCGGCTACGTTGCGCCGTATCCGAGTAACCCCTGGATAGGTCGCTCGCGCGACCTCTCCTGGATGCGCAAGGGGCCCATTGGGGTCACGCGGAGGGAGGCGCTGTTAGCGGCGGAGGAGGCGAAGGCGGCCGCGCGGGCGGCGGAGAAGGCGCGGGCGGCGGAGGGGGGGAAGGGCGGCGGCAGCGGGCGGCAGTCCCGCGAGGCACGCCGGCGGAAGGGTTCGTCTTCGCGGGGCGGGGTGCGCACTGCGCGCCGCGAGGATGAGGAGCCTGAGCCAGGGGAGGGTTGGGAAGGGGGGGCGAGGCCGGAGGAGTATGACGGCCTCTTCGACGGCCCATAAGGGGCCGTTGTCTGCTGTGCCTTTTGTGGTGCTAGTTCGTGCCAGTCTGCTGTGAGAGGGGCTTCCGTTGTAGAATTCTGCGTGGATCGCGTCACACCAATCCTCGCTACCCAACGCGGCCAAAGGATATCCACCTCGAGAACCTCAACAGTAGAATTCTTCATTTTGGGGACTCATTTTCATCGGCCCTTTACATTCTAGGCGTGTTTTCATGGCCGGTTTGGGCGTGATCGATACGGGCGTGATCGATACTTTTGGGGCGGAGATTGTCGACGCAAGCGAGCCACTCGAGCCTAGCTTTGAGATCCAGACGGGGAGCGCGCAGATCGTTCTCAAGGGCGAGGACGCGTACGGCTCGCGCAAGCTCGTGCTTGAGTCCTCCGACGAGCTGCACGTGACATTTGTATGTGACGGCCATGGCGGTGCCGCCGCGGCGCAGCTGTGTGCCGACAAACTGTTGCCGATTCTCATCGAGGAGGCGCGCGGCGACGGCTCGACAGCCAGCCTGCAGCGCGCCGCGACAAGAGCGTGCGCAAGGCTGCACGCCGAGGCGCGGGCGGCTTCGACTGCTGGCAGCACCCTCACCTGCATCATCGTGCACCCGGGGCGGCGCGAAGTGACGGCGTTCAATCTGGGCGACTCGGTGGCGTCCTCACGGCACATAGACACCGCCCCCTCCTCTTATCGGATCCGTTCCTCTCGCATCTGCTGCATATGGACGGTGCTGGGAAATGAATCAGTTAACAACGAACCACGAATGATCAGGCGGCGTGGATGGTTCCCCGAGACGGCTCCGCCGCCACCCTCCTCGCCGAGGTGCACCGTACCCCGACACGTCCGCAGGGGAGGCGCCTCCCCCTTCACCTCACAATAACTAATAGGTGTGCTGCGCAGCGTGCCCTCAGAGACCGATGCATGTCTTAAGAATAGTCAATCGGTAATGAATAGGTCCCTGCGTTTGCGTGCGGGCCGGTCCTCCGTGCTACTAGGATCGTGCAGCACTACTGACTGGCTGTCTCCATAGGACCACCGGCTCGACACGTCGGAAGCGGAGCGAGAGCGAGTGATTGCTCTGGGCGGCCGTCTCGCACATGCACGCGGTCTCTCAGGTTAATAATGATCAATAATTATTATTGAATACTCTATGGGCGGCCGTCTCGCACATGCACGCGGTCTCTCAGGTGAATAATGATCAATAATTATTATTTAATAACCTATGGGCGGCCGCCTCGCACATGCACGCGGTCTCTCAGGTTAATAATGATCAATAATTATTATTTAATAATAATTATTATTTAATAATCTATGGGCGGCCGCCTCGCACATGCACGCGGTCTCTCGGTTTAAGAAGGAACAATAAATCAAATTTAATACTAAAAATTTTTTAATAATTTAAGAGCGGAAGGGTGGCATATGCACGCGGTCTCTCAGTCTGTCAGGGATGGGGATTCGGGAGTTCGGGGGAGATGGGGATATCAGCCTGTCGGCGGGAGGATGCGAAGATCAACAGAGGAGCTCCCCTGTTCTGCAAAGAGTCAGGGACTGGTGGCCGATTGCTCCATTATTTCCATTCCGAAAATCCGACCCCCTCCCCTCCTCCCAGCGGCGCCGACTTCCTCGTCTGCTCCGACGGCGTCTGGGACGCCCTCCCCGCCGAGGCGGAGATCCGCCGAGATAGAGCCGAGATAGAGCCGAGATAGTTAGAGCCGAGATCCGCCGAGATCCGCCGAGATCCGCCGAGATCCGCCGAGATCCGCCGATGTGCGCCGGCCGCCGAGGTCGCAACCCTCCGCACGCCTCGGACACCGTCTGCCAAGGCGGTGCAGGGAGAGGAGTCTGGCCGCCTCGGTGCTGCGGACGAGTTTTATTCTTTTCCTCGCAGGCGGTGCTGGCGACGGTCCGCGGGATGATGCGCTCGCCCGTCACCCTGGCGCGCACCTCCAGACTATCGCACTTCGTCCCTCCAAACTATCGCACCTCGCGCCCTCGACAGTCGTCCATTCGACATGACACAGGCGAGTTTGGCAATCCGCCCAGGCCCCTAATTCTAACCAGTTCTTCCTCAGCGATTTTCATGATCGCAGGCGGCGTCTGCCATCGTCGAGTCTGCGCTGAACCAGAGGCGTGCGGCTGCCATACCCGGCTGCTAGTATGTGTTCCTCCTCGCTCTCTCGGCGAATCTGGGCTGATGACCCCGCTAGGCACGCGTATGACTGCGACGGGTACCGCCGGCCAAGAGACGACACGACGGCGAGATGTAGCCGAGATGTGGGGAGATGCGGGGAGATATGGTACCGCCGGCCAAGAGACGACACGACGGCGAGATGTAGCCGAGATGTGGGGAGATGCGGGGAGATATGGTACCGCCGGCCAAGAGACGACACGACGGCGAGATGTAGCCGAGATCTGGGGAGATACGGGGAGATATGGTACCGCCGGCCAAGAGACGACACGACGGCGAGATGTAGCCGAGATGTGGGGAGATGCGGGGAGATATGGTACCGCCGGCCAAGAGACGACACGACGGCGAGATGTAGCCGAGATCTGGGGAGATGCGGGGAGATATGGTACCGCCGGCCAAGAGACGACACGACGGCGAGATGTAGCCGAGATGTGGGGAGATGCGGGGAGATATGGTACCGCCGGCCAAGAGACGACACGACGGCGAGATGTAGCCGAGATGTGGGGGGATGCGGGGAGATATGGTACCGCCGGCCAAGAGACGAGATGACGAGCGGGGAGGGGCGGGGAGAAGGAGAAGAGTGGCGGAAAGACTAGCTGGCAGGAGGAGCCACGGCGGCGAGATGGGCGGAGATTCGCAGAGGTTGCACCGGGCGCATCGGTCGTGAAACTCCTCCGCGTGAGGTTAATTAATTAGCCAATTACAATTAATTAATGAGAACAGGCCCTCCTGCTCCGCGTGAGACGCAGCGACGAGGCCGAGGCGTGGCAGCGCCATCTCTCCCCAGATCTCCCCTTCTCTCCCCTATCTCCAGTATCTGTCACCTGCCTCACTCTCTCTCTCTCTCATCTCTTCTCTTGCCTCGACTCCCCTCTGTGACCCTCCCTGCCTCTGCCTCCGTGGCCTTCTCTGCCCCTCTTGCCACCCCCCTCTCTGGCTCCCGGAGAGGCTTGAGCCCTGGCCTCAAGGGCATGCCCCGCCGCTGCTCAGATGCTCCCTGCCGGCGGCTGCCTCGGCTGCTCCTGACTCGGCGCGAGGCACCTCCCACATACTTGCGCATCCGCTGCCGAGCTGCAGCCCCGCTGCTGTTCGACTGCCATCTCGCACCTCGCGGCTGGCTGCTGGAGCTCCGCTGCGGCTGCTGCATCTCTGGCGTCGTCGGGGGGGGGGGGGGGGGGACTTTCCTCTCCTTCCCCCTCCTCTCCTTCTCCCTCCCGCCCCCTCCTCTCCCTCTCCCTCCCTCCCCTCTCCCTACCGTAGTGAGTACAGCGCGTGCCGACCAATGCATGGTGGATGCAAGAGGCTGCGGGGCGGCCGGCAGCATGGCAAGGAGTAAGTCAGCATGACAGAATGGTGTGAGACGCGGGGGGCGTGCCCCCGTACCCCGGACTGCACGTTCGGTAGCAACGTGTAGCATGCTCTGGCCAATGGGCTGCTCGGGGTCGCGAACGGGGTCCGGTCGGCATCTGGACGACAGCCGACCCCACACACAGCGTCGGAGTAGGTGGACAAGAACGTCTCTCTGCACCTCATATACCTTTCGCATACTGCGATCTCTGTACGTTTGTATGTATGTAGTTTGCGCGGTATTTTTCTTCTTTTTCAAGCCGCTCCAAGATTTTAAGCCTCTGACACGGACGCCCACCGGGCCGTTCGTAACGAATTGACAGATTCCCCGATTCGGCAAACGCCAAACCCCGCAAAGTGACCCGTTTTTACACCCACCCACGCCCGTGCGCGCGTATCTTAGCTAAGGTACGCGGCCACACGCGCTGGCGCGCACGGCAACCGGGACTTACACGCGCGACACGAGGGACTGTGTATCCGTGCCTGCCTCGGGGGAGCGGAGGAACGACTCCGACGCAAGCTCTGTATGTATGTAGTAAGGTGAAGAACAGTCAGGCTCGGACTGGACACCAACGCGGTATGGGTGGACGCAAGACAGATGATGACGACACGCACGAGCGACACACAGACACAAACAAGCTCACAAGACACACAGCCAGCTGGCTGCCACACATCCTGAGTGGGCGTACACACATCACTCAGGCCACGTCCCCCCTGTCGCCCCCCCCAGCACTCCAAGGTGCCAAGAGACAAACAACAGCACAACAACACAGACAGGCGACAGGGGCGAACGTGTGAGACTAGAGCAGGCTTGCTCCGCCTCTAGCAATCTCGTCGCCGGCCGCAAGGCACGGACGAGACCGTGTGTGGGGTCTTGTGAGGTGTCTATGGACGCCCTCCTCACAGGCTATTGGCCAGCCGCTAGCCCTAACTCGCACTCATGGGTGACGACAGTTCATTGGATGAGTGGTTGCGAGCAGAGGCGCGTGTGCCTCCCACAATCTCTCGCACAATCTCTCGAACCCAGTGAGCGCGGCAGTGATGACTGCCCCATCCTCTCCGAAGATTCGTTCACCGGCTTCTCCGACTGCGCTGATTGGTAGGGCCCCCAAGGGCCTAGAAATCGCGCCTCCCTCTCCCTTGTCTCCCAGTAGCTAAAAGACCCGCTTCTCTCAAACGTCGCTCCAATTTTTCCAACCAAAAATCGCAAATGCCCAAATCCCGCTAAACACATCCCGACGGGGGGGTGGGCGCGCGGTCGGCGGCCGTTTTGCAGGGAGGTGTGCATGCGGGGGCTCAGCGAAGACCCCTGCCAGCTGAGCAGTCGGGTGTTCCGCGACCCGCATATAAACTTTGCCTACGGAGGCTCTGCCGACATTCGCGGCCGACAAAACGCAGTCTACAACTTCCTGTCTGCGCCCGGCTTCTCCGTCAATGTAAAGACCGAAGCGGCGGTCTTCAAGATCCACAATGGCGCCCTGACTGTCAACGGGTCATTCTTGACGGAGGCACACACGGTGACGCGCTTTGCATCCCAGCGGAGTGCGACCGCCTCCTTCTGGGCCTCCGAGCTCGACGACAACAACTTTGGCTGGCAGACGATAACCGGAACTTGTGTCGGCCGGCCGTTCAAGTTTGGGAACCGCGGCCACAAGACGTGCTATGGCCTCAAGATAGATATGGCCTACTCGTCCGCCACCTTCGAGTTTGGTAACTGGACGGTCATCGTACGCGGCATGCCGTCTTGCGACGGCTGTCTTGTCGCTGGGCCCAAGCACCGGCTGGATGTGAGCTTCAGTGCGCGCGGCGACGCTCTGACCCGCGATAAGCCGCATGGCATCATCGGGCAGTCCTATGCCACACCAGGCCTTGAGCGGCACGGCAAGAAGGACGTCTACCCGTGGGCAGGCTCTTACACCACCAGCGCCCAGGCCGAGGGCGCCATCGATGGCACGGCGTCGGACTACGAGGTGGCGAGCGCCCACGCGACCGAGTTCACTTTTTCGAGGTTCACGGCGGCAAAGGGCTCGCCTGCGGAGGGCACAAAAGGCGTGATCGAGGCCTCGTCCATCGACCGTGTCGCGGACCCCGCCACCGAACCGCAGCGTCGCCGGCTGTCAGAGGCGCCGTGCCCTCCGCCGTCGGCGGGAGGATCGACGGGCGAGCCCGCTGTCAGCGCGCCCCCTCCCGAGCCGCCGCTGCCACCGCCTCCCTTTTATTACAGCCCCGCGCCGCCGGATGTGTACAACCCCTCTCTCGCCGGCTGGGGGAAGATCGACGACTACTACTGCGTCGGGAAAACTGGCTCTCTCTCGACTCCTTTCAACGCTAGGGGAGCAAGTTGCTGGTGCAAGCCAGGCGGCAGCGACTCAGCCGACAATCCGAGCCCAATACTGACCGCGGCCGCCTGTGCCGCCTTGGCGGATGAGCTAAACTCCCACGCCTTCACTTTTGACAACAACAAAATGTGCGATATCTTATCCTGCGACGGCCGTAAGGACATCCACTACCAGAATTTACCTCCCTGTGAGGGTGGCTCCACCAGCAAC